TGATATAAGCAAATGCGTTATTTTGTCTTTAAAACTGAACAAAGTTATTTAATGGGACTGACTGTATGTCAAATGTAATGAAAAGACTTGCTACTTCATAATTCTCCTGTAAGAGGACTGTTCAAATTTATGCAAATCTATGCATTGTATTGTACATCCACGTTAAAATGTGCGAATGAAACAATGACGGAGTGAATCACGGCCGCTCAAGTGTCTTCTGAATATCAAGGGATTTCTGCAATAAAATAATATCATAATTGTCAAGCGTGCGAACCACAGAAATAGGCAATGTGCAGCGACGCCATTTTGAGCAGCAAAGGATGATGGTAGTTGTAGTCCTGGTACATTTGTATGTCCAATAAAACAGTCCTCCTACCCAGTTTTTCCTTTAACTAAGCGAAAATAGAAGTATTTGTGCCGTTTTAAAAAGAAAATATAAAAACAGCTTTTTTAAAAGGAGATATTTTAGGGGCTATGAAAAGTGTAAGAACTACAACTGCCATCATGCTTAGCCTGCACAAAATTGCGTCGCAGCATTGCCTATTGCTATTTATACAACTTTTCAGTAAAATCAGACGTTTTGATTGGTTGGCTTTCGTGTGTTATCAAAGTATATATATACGGATTACGTCAAAACTAATTGTTTGTTGTATAAAACAGATAGATCTCATTTTTCCGTGCGTGTGTACTCTAATAGATACACAGATGACGTCAAAATGTAGTGAGAACAACAGTCACGCACTCGACTGCGTCTCGTGCGTACTATTTTGTTCTCACTACATTTTGACGTCATCTGTGTATCTATTAGAGTACACACGCACGGAAAAATGAGATCTATTTGTTAAATAAAAGACATGAAAACTACGGTTTCTTCCTTGAATCCAAAAACCCTTCCCCCAATTCCTTAATATGATCACAAGCAAGACATTTCTTCCTGCATTCGTATAGATATATTTCGTTAACTGTATTTTCTAAGATGTACGTACTTATAATTTGATATACATCATTAGATTGTCCTCCTCCCAGTCCAGATGGGGGGCAATTAGATGCTGGTCCATACTTATTGTAGGTTTTATTAGCAGATGCACCACTCCAACAACCATTGCCATGATATTGGACAGAGAACAGCTGGTAGCCTTTGTCCTGGGCCTTAAGTCCACATCTACAAATGCTGAATGGTTTGTCTCCAGCGTTTAGAAATTCAGGTAATGCGCGATCATAATATCTGTCCTTAAAGCAGCCAATACGCTTGAATTCTGTAGGAAATAGATCCCAAAAACTGTATAAAACTAAAAGAGAATGACAGCGGGACATAACCTAACTAAACCGTTCACTTGTGTAATACAGTCGTTTTTACTACCATTTTTGGTTGTGCACCCTTTTGCGGTCTCCTCGTGTTCTCCAACACAACTCGCGCCATTGTTTTGACGAGSGGGATTTGAGCAGCTTCTAGTTCTGTTCTGCTTTCCATTTATACAACATGGACTCCATGAACCCCACTGTGTCCAGCCGCCGTCTGAAGATGAATGAAACAATAACGATACACACAGATGCAGCAGAAGACCATTACTATGGATACTACATTACTAGAATTATAGCGACATATATATACTCTCCCGAGTACCTTCTTCCACCCTATATTGAATCTAAGCACTTACCATCACATCTGAACGTATCCCAACTGAAATCAGGTGTACAAAGTCTATCTGCAGGACAAGGATTTGACGAACAAGGATTCTACATAAGAAACAACGAAACTTACAAATCCGAGTCTACAATTACGAGTCAGTGGTGGAAAAGGATTTGACGAACATGGATTCTAAATATAAAAAAAACAAGACTTCAAATAAATTTTTTTTTTGAGATTTTGGGATGAAATTACTAACCTTAATCGAGCAGTACTCAAAACCTTCTTTGGAGATCAAGAACTTGGGTCGCATCCAGTGATCAGCACTCAACTCACACGTCCTGATCTGACCGTCTACTGGACCCAAGTTGTACGACACGCACTGGCTTTCAGTGAAACATTTGCTTTGGCAAATCGTTAATCCGGGAACTATGACTTTGAGGGACTTGATCACGTGACCTGTGAGGGTTTTGTTTTTGATGCAGGGAAAGTAGTCAAACTCTTTACAACCATTCTTAGCTGTAGAAAGTAGGAATGAATGTGCGGAATATATGCTCTATTGAAGACATGAAGACTAAAAACCATTTAGATTCACGTTTACTGCAAATGCCAAACGTCAAATTGGCTTTTATGCGTTGTCTCAAAATTTCAAACAAACGTAAAAACGCTTCGAAAGGAATAGTGATGCGTTTATGCACGAAAAAGTGATCTATTTTATACAAAACCGCGAAAGAACGGAGCGTTGATACAGAAAAACATGGATCACTTCATCAGTTTTGACGTTTGGCGTTCGCAGTAAACACGCATCTAAAACTATCTACTATTTGGCGGGACGTCCGCGTAGGGTAAATATAGGGGTACCCCCATGGTTTTTTATAACCTTTGAATGGATAACAGTAGTCTACAAACGTCAAGGGCAATAGACACCTGTTCACGTGTTTTAAAGTCAGTAATGTCAATTGAAAACGTTTTGGAAAAGTTTAACTTCTACTTCTAGCCGTAATCATCACTGATTGAAACCTAAACTGACTACGATTGAAATATGAAAATATTGAAATTTTTCTTGCAATTAATTTAATCATCATTGAATTATATAATTAATAGGCCCATGACAAAGATTTGTACTCAAAACTCCCATAAAAACGCTAGTGTGACTTGTGCATTAAAAGGAAGAATACTAAAAATCAAAGACACCAGCATCGTTTTAATATTGGGGCAAACAACGTATAGTAAATGATCGAAAACTCGAGAAATTTAGAGAAAAAAGGAAATTATTCATCTTACCCTCTACTAGAACAAAAGTGACACTGAACAAACGAAGAAACAAGTCGTCAAAGTCCATATTCTCACGTAGCTTTGTTTTCCATGGTTTGTCAGCAATGACTTCAGTCTAAAGCTACTTCAAATGCTAATTCGTCACAAAAATTAATGAATAATATATAAAACTATTTTTAATCCATACTGAAATAAAATAGAAATAACATATAAGTAATGAAAAACGTCCGTCTAATTCAAAATGAAAAAAGATTTCAGCATGACCATAGCACGAAATTCGTGCCAGCCGTACTTTTTGATAGTCCCAGTTTCATACTGTATCCCAGTGGAAGCTTTTATGGACGTTTCTTTTTTGTTTGTTTAAAACATTGCTTGCATGCTTCTGATTGGTCAGTTTATCTATACTAGCTTTAAGACTCGCTGTTGCAGTTGTTCTGCTTTGTCTGATTCCGTCAAAATAATTTCGTTGGTAACCACCACGAACGATAACAGCATTTTATCGTTTGGAGTTTGTAAGTCGGCATGGAGACATTAATTTAGGTCAAGGATTTACTATAAGGCATAAATTGATCGTATATAGAACGTAGGGTTCAAAATTAATTGTATAGTCAAAGTCAAGCCGCAGAAGCATTGCTATGGCATCTACATCTACATCTATCCTGGAACTAAAATGAGTCGCATACTATACAAGTTGCACACGACAATCTCATCGTGTAATCCGACTTCCGACACGTTGTTCCTGTCATTTTTGCGACTCAAGATGATCCTTACAAAGGAAGCCCAAAGAAGGAAAAAAGAGCTGCCTTGGGAGGAGGCTAGCTAGATTCGCGATTACGCGCAAAAATTTTAATAACCATTTCCATTGGATTGTTTACTGTGTTTCGTTGAGCATGATGCACAAATATTTGTCGGCAAAAGTAATAAAAGTGTACAAATGTAGCATTTATTTCGTGTATTTCTAAGTATATATTTCATTTGTAACTACTTTCAAGTGATTAATTAAAATTACACAATGACGTAACGTTTCATCGTGTTTGGTTCTTATCGTTGGTTTCTTCCTGCGGTCATTGAAAACACGTGTTTGGCTGGCTTCCAGGGCTGTTCATATTTTCCCGTCTTTTTCTAAGTTTTGTTTATCTTTTCATCAAGGAATGCTTATATAAAAAAGAACATTAATATAGACAAAAAAAATATATAAAAGTAGTAAACATATATTGTCTTCCCAACGAACTGCATTGCATATCCATATAAAAACATTAACGATAGTTTGTGCGAATGAAACGATGCCGACGTGAACCAGGATGTGTTAAAAACAATATTACTCTGCACATCTTCCTTTTTTGCCCCGCTCAAGTGTCAAGGGATTTCTGCAATAAAATAATATCATAATTGTCAAGCGTGCGAACCACAGAAATAGGCAATGTGCAGAGACGCCATTTTGAGCAGCAAAGGATGATGGTAGTTGTAGTCCTCAACATTTTTATGTCAAATAAGTCCAATAAAACAGGGTGCGTACCACATAAAATGAAAACTAG